TCCTGCTCTACCGCTAGCCTAGCCATGGAGTATCTCTCAAGCGCCCTCTTCTTCTTCGGGCGCACAGTGCCCAAGTTGCCTTAACGCACAAGCAGCAGCAGCGCTTCCGCATTTCACAACTGAACAAGTGATGAGCCGCTGCTGAACAAGTGATGAGCCGCTGCACTGTAGCAGCTAAATATAGAACTTGGCTTGGCTTGGCTTGGCCTGGCCTGCTTCAGACTGGTACCGGTTGGCCGCGGCCTGTCTGCTGCAAACATTTTGTCGGTCCGGTAGCTTCCAGACTTTCCTGGGACGTGCTGCAAAATTGGACTTGGAACTGTTGGACTGGACTGGACGCTTCTGGACTTTTCTTGTGGGATACCGGACGGACTTTTCTTGTGGGATACCGGACGGACTCCTACCGACCTAGGTACGGACACCTACCGACCCATGGCGTTTCGGCCTCTAGACCCTACAGCCTAACCTACGGGACGGCCCTGGGACTTGGGACTTGTGGGAACCCTGGGACCGGGACTGGGTGTCTGCATCGTGAATCCTGAATCCTTTCACTTCACTACTCAACATTCTACACATGCATATGGAATCTCACCATGGGCCAGACACATTCGGACTGATAAAATATTGGGTTAATAGCAAAAATATTGCTGTTTCGAAGTTTGGCAGCAAAAATGTGGTCCGTTGGAAGTTTCCTTTGCAAAAATAGAGGTTCCGTTGCAGCTTTATCGGGTTCCGGTAGTTTGCCAGCAAAAATACCGCGTTTTGCCCAGTTTCGCGGCGAAGGACCCCTACGCCTCTGGCCTCAGGGACTCAGGGACTCAGCGTTCTGGCCTGAGGCACTCAGCGTTGTTTTCTTTTTTTTTTTTTCTTTTTTTTTTTTCCGGGGCATGGCCGACGCATCTGGGCATGCCCACGGCCGAGATGCCTCGGCCACGGCCGCGGGAAAAAAAACAAGAAACGTGGCCGAGGCATCTCGGCGTGGCCACGGCCCCGAGATGCCTCGGCCACGCCCGCGGGGAAAAAAA